TCTTTGACTTTTATAAACCGTAATTTTACATGTAAGAACAAATAGTAACGTGTACACTGAAGCAGGGAAGGAAATTGGGAACTTTCTGTTCAGTTCATAACTAAAATTCTACTCAGGGATGATTTTGCGGTTAAGATCAATGCTCATCAACGATGCTGTTTTCGTTTGGAAGTCTCTGATGATCTTCTCTGTTCCTGTTCTTTCCGTCCTTTGTACTCAGTGGAAGTAACGGTGTTTGAGACAGTCCAGTAGAACGCTCTGTCATCTCTGCATTTCAAAAGATATGTTAACAATTTCTAGAGTTTAGCACAAGATTCAAAACCTATGTAGGGTTTAGAACACTCTTTCAAGTAGATAGTTGCTACACTTTAGCATTGTAACGATCCGATCTTGTGGGTGGGCAAGTAACAAGACAAACATTTCAGTTTGAAGCAGAAACTATGGAAAACGAATAGCAGTCTCAACTTTCTGTGAACATCTATGTGCTTATGAGCAGAAACTGCAGAGAAACAATATGGTGTTTGTAATCTTTTGGGAGACTGATGAGTTCTTGAGGAGACTTACCTGGAAGTTTGTTGTCAACGAAGAATATCACCAGGTTCACGGTATACCTGCAGAAGAAAATGAAGCACACAGCAGTTGAATAGTTGAGAGAATTAAAGGATTCAATTTCTTTAAAAAAAGAGATTTGATTTCTAATTTTTCTGACCATGCAACAACAATGTCTACTGTGTAATGTTTCCTTGATGCTATAATCAATAGGCTTTGGATAGCCGCAAGAAGCCAAGCCAGATGTTTGATCCACCTTCAAATTGTACAAACATGAGATGCAAGGATCTTGTTGAACTTTACAGAATAATATAAGATACATTACCTTCGTGTGCCGTATCTTTGATATGTGCGTACGAAGACTAAGGTGAATATCGTATGCGATGAGAATATTAGATCTCCACAACCATATATCACCCCATAAGGGACTGCAATTTGAACACAAACCTTAGTCAAATGCCGCTTTAAGTTTTCACTGTACTGACCAACAATTTGCAAAATAGAGGCAAAATGAAACTAACAGTTCATCAAGAGCACTTCAAGAGCATCCTTTGGAGGCGGAATCTTGGCGAGCTTGGAGCCCTAAAAGAAAAAAAAAATTGTTATGGCAAAGAGAAATCAGTACATAGCATAAAAATGTTACCACTAAGAAACCAAAGCCTAACCCCCCCCCCCTGAGAATCTTACCTCTCGACAATGATAATTCGGCCCAGGAAGCTGTGTCGAAAAGAATGTGATGATTCTCAGGCTTTGAGAAGCCTGATAGAACATATTTAAAGCGTAATCAGCTCAACAATATTAAACTACAAAAAAAAATTCTACATTCTTTGTATGCAGAATTTGAAGAATCAGTGTAGTTTTAGTACCACTTACTGCTAAGTAAACAAAAACTCTGCACCATATCAAAACTGTACATATCTTTTTACTATGGGAAACAAAGGGATGAAAGGTCCACTGCAATCAAGGTAAACCTCATGTTAGCGCCATAGAAAACCGTTACAGCAAAATGAAAAGAAAAACAGATACTTTAGCGTGAATACTTACCAAGACAAATGATCCAAAGATAGTGACGAATACGGTTTCACTGACAAAGGCTTTGTCTTCCCCGAGCGCCTAAAGAACACATATCATTCACCAAAACAAACCCGTAGGGTCATACATAACAAAACTGGTGGGAAAAGTGAAAAAAAAACTGACTGGAAGAATGAAGAAACCGGCATCTTGAAGCGTTGGACCAGGGCGGTGTAAGTAGTGAACTCCATGAGCAGCAAGTCCATGAATGTACTGGTTTTAAGAAGGACCAGAAGAAACAATTGGAAATGAAAATAGGAATTTGTATAATTGAACTAATCTTTAAAGCTCAGCAAGCCGACTTTTGATCTAACCACCAAAAAATTTGAGCAAAACGATAAATTATCTATACGTAAAGCATGGATCATGACATTTCCGAGCTCTGATAGACCCAAAACAGCATTTAAATAAAAACCCATAAATTCGATGGATGAAGGTAGAACCTGAAATGTAAGACCAGCGAGAACAAGCTTCCATTTTTCGGCGAGGAGAGAAGCCTCTAATGTCGCTTCTGAGTAAATTCGTCTCCATAACTTGACATACACACACCAAACCATGGACACATTATCAAATTATTCAACTTTTTTTTGTTTTTTAAATGTTTGTAACAAAAAGTAGAGATTGTGATTAACGGAGGAAAAATAATAAGAGAACCTTAGGAGCCTCGCGATCAACGTAAACCGGCATGGTTAAGATTGAGGATGAACATTAATCTGTACAGCACGATCGAATGCAAACTGGTTTCTATAGAAACAGAACACGATCAAAGATGTCACAGAAAACCAAAATCACAGGACAATACAAACGAAAACAGTAGTTTGATTCACCTGAATCGACACGAATATATAACCCCAAAAAGATTGAAACAATAAGAGAGGAATCGATTCAAATGGGTGTTTGTGTGTTTCGGGGAAAGGATTCGGCTTTTTGTGCAATCTACGCAAAAATGAGGGCAAAAGGCAAACAAAGGAAGGCACACTTGTTGTAAAATTGTTATTTTTAAATGGTTAGTCAAATGATACAAACGTACATCAGGTGCTGTGGTGTAGTGGTTATCACGTTTGCCTTACACGCAAAAGGTCTCCAGTTCGATCCTGGGCAGCACCAATCTTTTTGTTTACTCAAAATTCTTTTAGTTAGCACTAGAGATGACTTTTATGAAACAACATGGACGAAACATTACCAGCACTAACCACTGAATCAACAGAGGCAGGGAACAATAGAACGATAAATTTAAAGGAGATTAACAACTACTTATGAATAATATCTTAGTTGACATGACAAATCTTAGTTATCGAGTGCTTAAGGTTTTGAAGAAAACTCTATGTGCCCGTTTTATAGATTTCAAAGCTGCTGAATAACATATGAAAGAAACACCAACACTAGTTTAAAGAGGCTTGAGGAGTAGTTGTTGGAGTTTATATGATTTTAGTTAATATTGTTTAACTAAATAATTAACATATAACTAAGGGACACATATCTTCTTCTCAACATATGTGTTGTCTGAGAAACGTTATACAGGTAAGAACACGTCCGTGGAGAAACCTTGATCAACATACCCTTTCAATCATTATATAAAGAGATTATGGGTTGTGATTAACGACAAGGAAGAGATTCCAATTACTCTGATCTTCTCCATCTCTTCCAAACACTTTCTGAGAAACACAAAATAGAGTTTGCAAGGAACTCCGTACGGTGTTTTGTGCGGAGTTCGATAGTTGTATCCTCTAGATAGACGTCCACACAACTACTTACACCATAGTAGGGACGAAATTCTGTCTTAGGAGATTGCCACAAGCAAGCCTCTATCATCTTACGAGTCACCGCGTCTTGATCGAGAGGGTAACCGCCAAGTTCGTCTTTTGTATTACATATACTTTGTATTTGTAAAACGTTTCTTTCTTAAAAATACAACATCTTCTCTTTGTATCGATTGTTCTGCATCTATATTTCTAACAATCTAAGACAGAAATTTCTCTTGTTTGAAATTGATAGATGGATCAATCGGTTGCGGTTGTGAAAAATCACATTGAAAAACTTTTTGTGTTCCGAGGAGTGGATTTCAAAAGATGGCAACAAAAGATGTTGTTCTATCTCACCACATTGAATCTGGCTCAATGCTTGACTTCCGATGGACCGGATTTACTCGTTGAAGGCGATATTCCTGATGAAATCATCAATGCATCAGAGATATGGACACAAAACGAGTTTTGTGTAAGAATTACATTCTTAATGCCTTGGACGATTCCCTCTGATGTTTATCAAAATTTTCAAAC